GACCACCGCCACCGCCGCCACCTCTTCCACCACCGCCTCCTCCCTCGGCGACTCACACCCGAGCACACGAACGCTGCCACCGCCACCCCGGCCGCCGCGCTCTCCTCAGTGTGGAATCACCTCCGCGCCCGGCCACCAAAATGGCGCCGGATCCGCGCATGCGCAAGACGCTGACCCGGCCGAGCGGCGCAGCCGCTCCCGTTGTAGCCCCATACGCCTCAAACGCTAGCCCGCGCCGCGCCGCGCCGCGCCGCGCCGCGCAGCGCGTCTCTGCCGGAGCTGCGGCCGCGTGGCTCCGCCCTGCCGGCGTCTGGGGCCAGGAGGGTGCGGCTTCCGCGCTGGCCAGCCTTGCCTCGGCCTCTTGGGTCCTCTCCTGTGCCTCCGCCCCTCTTCAGCCTCTGTGGTGTGCTCGTCGCTTCCAGCCGTGGCCTTTGACTAAAGGCTGAGCCCGACCTAACGGGTTCACGCGGCCCCACTCGGCTGTGAGCGCCGTCCTGACTCAGCCAGTCCCAGAACCCACGGGCTTAATGTGCCTGGTTGTGTCTAGTCTATAAAAACACCATTCCAGAACTCGATCTGGCCCATTTGCTGTTGGTATAAGCCCAGAAAATCCACTGTGCTCGTTTTCCTTCTGAAGCCATTGTGGTGGCAGTATTATTACGATCATTCCAGGTACTACAAATCACTGAATTAAGAGTGGTCATTGTTGGGTCCCAGCAGGTGTATTTGAAACAGGTACTCATTGGATATGCCTGAGATGGATTTAGAAGTCAGATGTTGATCTTTGAACTACTTAGATAATTAATCCCGACTTTTAATGGTTTCTAACCATGAGTGTACATCAGAATCCCTGAAGAGCTTCTTAAAAAAAGAAAAAAATTCCTGGACCCCATCCCTAGTGTGGGGGGTGGGCCTAACAATCAGCATGCATCTCTTAACAAGTTCTCAAATGCTGTTGCCCCTGCTACTGATTCAGGGACCACACTAGGAGAACGACTACACTAAAGCATGTGAAAATAGTTTGTATATTAAAGTGAAAAATGGAGAAATACATGCTTCTGGTGTGGAAAGGGCAGCTTTACTTCCGTAAGCCTTGGGCCTACGATGGTGTCTGGCACTAGTAAGCACTCAATAACTATTGAATGAACAAATGAAGATAAGAGTAAAATGTTTTAAGTGGAAAGTAAGTTTGAAAGGCAATTTGAAAGTGGTTGCTAGGGTTTCAGTAAGCAATATGGTTTTGGTGCTGAGAGGTACTTTAAGTAGAACATTCCGAAATAAGTAATAAAGGTTATTTAGGGGTGCCTGGGTGGCTCAATCAGTTGGGCGTCCTCAGGTCATGATCTCCCGGTTCGTGAGTTCGAACCCCATGTGGGGCTCTGTGCTGACAGATCAGAGCCTGGAGCCTGCCTCAGATTCTGTGTCTCCCTCTCTCTCTGACCCTACCCTGCTCATGCTCTGTCTCTCTCTGTCTCAAAAGTAAAAAAAAAAAAATTAAAAAATTTTTTTCTAAACTTAAAAAAAAGGTTATTTAGAAGTTTTTATTTCATTTCATGAACTCCGTTCACCTAATCAATTAGTAAAGTATCCTAGAACAATATCACAAATACAGTCTTAGCAAAAATTACTAAAGTTATGGCAACAGTAAGGAAATAGCCATTAGCAGTGAATCATTCAAGTGGAGGCACATGCAAAAGAAATTCTTGAACTTCTGCCACACGAACCTAGAGGGGATTTTTGATTCCAGCTCTCTTCCATGCTAGCTATCTTAGCCAACCTTGGTTTCCTCATCTGAAAAATAAGGAAGCTGGACTATATGATGTCTTTGAGGTTTTAAGAGGTCAGAATTCTAAAGCATCATTTGGAAACATTTCCCTGAGTGAACTAACATAAATTACAAAAACCCTTCTAGCAGAGCCCCCTAGTGGTCCTAAGAGGAACCAGCTATACATGTGGGTCGTGGTACAATGAGTTATTGGTGTAATGTAAATCATGCAATTTTATGTGTATTTGTGTTGGTACAGTAAAAGTAATTATTTTGAAGTGTGCAAAAACTGTTTTGAGTACTTTAAATTTATCAGCTTCATTCAGTCCCTAATCTTAATCTTGGACTTCAAAGAAACTTGGCAACACTCAAATCACAGAGTGGTCTACTTAGAAGAGTATGGTCATTTCTTTGGGGGAGAGAGGCTAGGTCATTTTTAAATACACATAATCATTGATCCTGATATTCTACTTCTAGAAAATCATTCTACAATCCTTCCAGAGAATGAGGCAACTGCATATTAACTGATATGAGATAATTCCCAAAGTACATTTTAAGGAAAAAAAAAAATCAAAAAAAAAAAAAAAAAAAAAAAAAAAAAAAAAAAACAGCACTGTGCTAAATGCAATGTGGTGTATTGAATTAGATCCTAGAACTGAAAGGACTTAACTAGTGAAATCTAAATAAATTCTGTAACTTAGTTAATAGTATTGTACCAATATTAATTTCTCAGTTTGACATGGTACTGTGGTTATGTAAGACTTAACATTAATAGAAGTAAGTAAAGAGTACATAAGCATCTCTGAAACTTTTCTATAAATCTACAATTATTCCAAAAGAAAAAATTTACTTTTATAGTTATTTCTTTATTTTTTGAGAGAGAGATAGAGAGCGAATGGTGGAGGGCTAGAGAGAGAGAGGGAGACAGAGAAGCCCAAGCAGGCTCCGCGCTATCAGTGCAGACCCCAATGTGGGGCTCAAACTCATGATCTGTGAGATCATGATCTGAGCTTAAACCAAGAGTGGAAGACTTAACTGATTGAGTCACCCAGGCACGCCACAAAAAGTTTACTTTTTAAAAATTTTTTTTAACACTTATTTATTTTTGAGACAGAGAGAGACAGAGCATGAACATGGGAGGGGCAGAGAGAGAGGGAGACACAGAATGTGAAACAGGCTCCAGGCTCTGAGCGGTCAGCACAGAGCCCGACATGGGGCTCGAACTCACGGACCATGAGATCATGACCTGAGCCGAAGTCGGCTGCTTAACCGACTGAGCCACCCAGACGCCCCAAAGTTTACTTTTTAAAAAGCACTATGCAGGATATATTGTGTACAGTATACTACCATGTATGCGAGGGAAGAAATGAATATGCTTGTGTATATAATGTTTGTGAATCCTCAAAATATCACTGGAAAAATGCATAAGAAACTGACAGTATTGGTTATCTCTGAGAAAGCAGCTTAAATGCCTTGGAGAAAGCAAAATGGGAGACTTTCACCATGTAACCTCTTGTATATTTCACCTATTCAAAACTAATTTTTTATTTATTTATTTTTTTTTTTAATTTTTTTTTCAACATTTATTTATTTTTGGGACAGAGAGAGACAGAGCATGAATGGGGGAGGGGCAGAGAGAGAGGGAGACACAGAATCGGAAACAGGCTCTAGGCTCTGAGCCATCAGCCCAGAGCCCGACGCGGGGCTCGAACTCACGGACCGCGAGATTGTGACCTGGCTGAAGTCGGACGCTTAACCGACTGCGCCACCCAGGCACCCCCAAAACTAATTTTTTAAAAATGAGTTTCCAGTAATGCAGATTATAAACTCTTCATGATGTAGTTCTGGTTGGTTACTTCATTAAAAATTATTTAGTTAACCAACTATTTATTGAGTGTCTACTATGTGCCAGGCATGATCTAGGCCCTAAAGGTGTATCAATGAACAAGAAACAGAACACCTCTGGAATTGCAGGAATTACATTTTGTCAGGGATAGGGAGAATTCATCTCAAAGTGTAATCCACAGAAATGTCTGGGCCCCTGAGATGTTTTCAGGGGTCAGTCTGCAATGACCAAACTATAATCTTTGTACAACTAAGGCATTATTTGCCTTATACTGTGTTGACATTTGCACTGATGATATAAAAGCAATAGTAGACAAAAACAATTACTGTACGAGTAATAATTTTATTAATATCACACACTCAATGTTAAAAATACCAGTTTTAGGGGCACCTGGCTAGCTCAGTCGGTGGAGCATGAGACTCTTGATCATGAGTTTGAGCCCTACATTGGGCATGGAACTTACTTTAAAAAAAAAATACCAGTTTCACTTTTTAAAAAATATTTTATTTTTTTGTTAATGTTTATTTAGTTTGAGAGAGAGAGTGAGCTGGGGAGGGGTTGGGGGGAGGGGAGAGAATCCCAAGCAGGCTCTGTGTGGTCAGCACAGAGCTCAACCTGATGCTTGATTCCATAAACCATAAGATCATGACCTTAGCCAAAATCAACAGTCAGACACTGAACCAACTGAGCCAAATAGGCACCCCAAGATTTTATTTTTAAGTAATCTCTACACTCAACATGGGGCTTGAACTTACAACCTCAAGAACAAGAGTTTCATGCTTTTCCAACTGAGCCAGCCAGGCACCACCCCCACCCTGTTTTATTTTTTTTTAACCAGTTTCACTTTAGAATGCCTTTGATGAAGCAGCAGAAAGTGTTGATGTTATTAAACTTAAACTTTTGAATACATGCCTTCTTCATATTCTGTGTGATTTATGGGAAGGATAGAGAAAGCACTTCTGCTGCATAAGGCACATGGTAAAGTCTGTGCAATTGGTTTGGTTGTGAACTAAATTAGACACTATTTCCATGGAACACCATTTTTACTTAAAATAATGATTGAGACAAACTATGTTTATCAAGGGTTGGGTATTTGGCAATATTTTATCAAAAATGAACTAGGTAAGCCTGTCACTTCAAGGAACATAACTGGCAGAATTTGTTGCCAATGATAAAAGTTAAACTTTCAACTGAAAATTTGAGCTTTAGAAAATATATCTGCCATTGTGACTTGACAGCTTCCCAATACACTTAAAGATATTTCTTTTTTTTAATTAATTTTTTTAACATTTATTTATTTTTGAGACAGAGACAGAGCATGAAGGGGGGAAGGTCAGAGAGAGAGAGAGACACAGATTCTGAAACAGGCTCCAGGCTCTGAGCTGTCAGCACAGAGTGCGACGCAGGGCTCGAACTCACGAACCGGGAGATCATGACCTGAGCTGAAGTCAGACGCTTAACTGACTGAGCCACCCAGGCTCCCCTCTTTTTTTTTTTTTTTTTAAATTAGAAGTCATCTGTTCTTTTTTTTTTTTATGTTTATTTATTT